TCCCAACAGAGGAGCAGGAAGAAGGAAGACGCTGTAGGAGAAGCAGCATGCAGGGCCGCCGGCAAACACAGCAGAGCCCGGCTGGACCAGAACTTCTTCCCAGATGCTCTCCCCCATGGCTCCTGGCTGCTCTGACAAGAACAGAGAGAGTTGCATCAACAGGAGACTGGCGGCTGCACACACATGAGCCGGGTCCAGACTTGAGTAAGGCAGGGACATTCCTGGAGGAGGGATTCAACCCAGCATTCAGCTCACAGATGGCCTCGCAAGAGAGCTTTGACCATTCCCAGCCAGCGTCAGAGGCCAGCTTTATAGGCCTCTGTGTTGTGTCCTGTGGGTGAGGGAAATGAGATGTGAGAAGCCTCGGGCCGTTTGGACAGGCCTTCTGGAACAGGGCTGTGTTCTGGCAGCAGGCCTGGCAGGGTTACCCAGTGGTAGGAAGGCCTCCAGCACCCAGTGACCTCATGCAAGGAACCCAAGGGCGAAGCTGGTCCCCGTTTGATGTGTGTCCATGAACTAGCCCATCTGTGGCCTCTAACATTGCCAGCCGCACCCTCTGCCTCACTCTTGGCTTCTGTGACACTCACTCAGAACCATAAAAGACAAGATTTATTGAGTGCTTGTCACGTGCCAGACGTGGTGCCAGATGCTGTAAAATGCACAGCACCTCACTTCATCTTCATGACTGTCAAGGACGTGCTCTTGACATCCCCATTATACACGAGGACCTGGAGACCTGCAGAGATCCCATGACACACCCTGGTCGCACACATGTGGAGTCTGGATGTGGACGCGGGTTTTCCCAACTCCAGGGCCCGAGGCCCCCCCAGGGCATCACACTCTCCCTGCCTCCTCATCGCTCTTACCCTTGGTTCTCAGTCTCGGCAGGCTCCTCTGCTCCACCGACCCCTTCAGTCTTGGTGTCTACAGGGCTCTCCTCTCTTCCCATCCCACACAGAGATTATCAGTCTCAAGTCATCAAACCCCCTCGCCTTCAGGGACCCCGTGCCCTTCGGCAGCAGTGCGCGGTGTGTTGTGTGTGTGCCTGTGTGTGACTCTTCTGAGGAGGGAAACCGCAGCTTTTGTTTGAGGAGATGGGCTGTAGTTGTGTTTACTTGGTATGTGTCTGCCTGGGGAAGCCAGATCCTGGTCTAAGTTTTTTTCCTTTTCCTGGAATTCCTGAGGAGGCGCTGCACCAGGACAGTGACAGGTGGGGAAAATAAAGCAGCGGTGCCGGATCCCAGCACCCTAATGCAGGCGCTCTGGGACTTGAGACCCAAGCACAGGGCTTGTTCCTGCCTCCCCCCCCCACCCCCAGCCCCCCACATCCCAAGGAGCTGCAGGTGTGTCTGTTACTTTTCATCTCCTGCCACTAAAGGTGACTCTAGTTGTTGTGCAGTTGCTAAGTCATGTGTGACAGATGTGACACACGTGTCCTCGAATCCAAGCAGTCCCGGCACTCGCTCCTCCTGGAAAACAGTAAAGGTGGGAAGAGACAAGGAAGCCTCCCTTCCCTCTCCACCCTGGAGCTCTTGTCAGATTCTCAAAGGGGGCTTGAGATCCTAATTACCTGCTGTTTCACACAGTGGTTCCATATGGAACCCTTTAGCACATGGGAAAAGCCAAGAAATGTCTCCAAGAGGGAATCTCGTGTCACGGAAAGACCCAGGCTCTTGAGCTGAATCCAGCTCAGATTCTCCCCCAGCTGTGTGCCCCCAGGTGCATCCCCTCACCTCTCTGAGCCTCAGTCCCCTCTGTGAGATGGGATGCGTGACACCAACCGCAGAAACCCCTGGCTCCCCCTCAGAGCTCCCAGCAGGGTGGATCGAAGAGAGGCCTTGTTCATCCTGACTCCAGGCCCCCTCCCTCCTGAGGTGGGTGCAGCAGTAATGCTAAGGAATGGGGTGGCAGGAGGAACACTCATCCCGGCATCGCGACACTCGGGTTTGCATCTGCCCCCAGCCACTTACGTGACTTTGAGCACATCGCTTCATCTTGGGTCCCGCACCTGTGAAGTGGGTGAAAGTTGTAGAGACATAAATAATATCTGTGAACGCCGGCCTGCAGCCTCCACGCCCCCAGCTGTGCTGTCCCTGCCCTCCCCACCCCTCCTGAGCCGCCCCTGGGCTTCCTCCTCTTTGGGTGTGTGTGGGCAGGTGTGGGCAGGAACCTGGGGCTGTGGGGGTGGGGGACGATGCTGGGGCCTGCCTGGCTCTGGGGAAGGGATGGGGGCTGTGCTTGGCTCGGCACAGGCTGGTACCCGCCATTCCTTCGGTACACAGAAGGGCTTCTCCCCAGTTTTGCATAGGAACTTGGTCATTTCTCCACCTTCCCCTTTCTTGCTGGGTCTCGTCCTGATCTTTACCCCCTTACACACATATACTTCTCCTGGACACAGAGGTAGACACAGGAAGAAGTAGGTCTGGGATCTGCTCTCTCATTTGTCTAGGGCTGAGACCCAGAGAAATTTGCCCCCAGGGCTGATCCATTGAGCTGACACTTGGAGGACAGATAGAATCTGCCCAAGATAGTGGCTCTGCCACAGAGGTGGGGAGACATGGGAGGGGGTGGCTGGAGCAGACAGCCCATTGAAGGCCACAGAAGATGAGCCTGAAGAGGTACAGAGGGCGGTGGAGGAGCGGGGTTGGAGTTCACGTCCCCTGTCACACTTGAGGTCGCTACTGCGCTGCTGGGCCACAGAAATGAATCAGATCGTGAGCCCCTGCCCTGGGGCTGATGTTGGTGTTGAGAGCAGCTGAGCAGCAACTGTGAGCTGGGCACTCAGCCTGAATTATCTCATTGAATTCACGCAACATAAGATAAATACCCTTAGAATCCCTAGTTTATCCATAAAGAAACGGTAAGTTTCTTGCCCAAGGCCTCCACGCAGCTAAGGGACCAGAGCAGAGTTTGGATCCAGGCCCAAGATTCTTCTGTCTTAGTCAGCTCGTGTTGCTATAACAAAATACCACAGACTGGGTGGCTTATAAACAACAGACATTTGTTTCTCACAGTTCAGGAGGCTGGAAGTCCAGGATCATGGTGCTGGCAGACTTGATGTTTGGTCAGGGCTTCCTGATTCAGAGATGGTTCCTGGTTCATAGATCGTGGTGTCCTCATAAGGAGCAGGGGAATCTCTCTTGGACTTCTTTTGTAAGGGCACTGATCCCATTCTTGAGGTCTCTACCCCTGACCTAATCACCCCCCAGAGGCCCACCTCCTAACCATCACCTTAGGCATTGGGCAAATGAATGAGGAGAGGGGCACAAACTTTCAAACCATAGCAGATCTTAACTTCATGTTTTCACCTCCCAAAGGTGAAAGACCATTTCTACCTTGAGATGAAGGCGTTCAGTAAAGGCACAAGGAGGGAGGAGATGTGAGTCTTAAGAAACAAGTGAAGTGGATCAGGTGGATGGAGGTGGAGAGGCCATTATAGACAGAACCAGCAGAAGCAGCGGAAGCATGAAGGTGTGAATCAGCAGGTGGGGACTTCAGATGGGCAGAATTGGAAACTGGAGCAGCAGGCGGGGTTACTGGCTAAAAAACTCAGATCTCTAGTGGGGCGGTGGTGATGTGATCCAGTTTGTCTATAGAAAGATCATTCTAGCAGAGAGTGGAAAGTGGTTTGGGAGGCAAAGATGGTCCATTCTGGGCACTCACTACGTGTTTGTTGAGGAAATGAATGGAACTCAACAATTACTGTGTACCGTTTACGTTCTAGTCCTTCTAGTGGACTAGAAGGGCTCTGGAGGGTTGGTGGTCAATAAAACAGACACTCTAAATAATCCATTTGAAAGATGATGAGACCTGGACTTTAGGTGGTAGCAGTGGGCATGGGAGGTAAGGATGGATCTGTGGGATTCTATAGAAAATAGTCAAAAGAACCAGATGACCAATAAGACGGAATGGGCTGGAGAGATGGAGAGATGGATATATAAAGTCGATTCCCAGGCTTCTGATATGGATGATTGGATGGACAACAGAGCTTGGGGAACACAGAGGAGGAGCAGATCTACAGATACCAGAAATAGCTGAGATGCCCAACAGAGGGTTGCTTACATAGTCTAGGGGACATGCCTCCAGCCTGCAGGGTTAGTTTGTGACCTTCTCTAGCAGTACTCGGGAGCCTGGTTATAAGGGCAGAAAGGATGGGTGAATGGGTTGATCCAAGTCCATGGTTCCCCTGGGCTAGGACAATAGAATGGCACAAGGCAGGGAGTTGAAGGTGATCATGAAAGAATGGCTGAAGCAATCTACTCGAGGGACTAGACCAGGGAGGGCTTGTATACTGAACAGAAAGGCAGGGCTGGGAACTGGAGGAAGGGAGGGAGGAACAAGGAGAGAAATGTGTGGCCCCGGAGTGGACCCCAGGGTGTCAGGGTCCAGAGCTGCTGCCCTTCCAGGCCGGTACTGCGATCCGTGAGGGGAGAACCATCCCATTTGGCAGATAAAGAAACTGAAGCTCAGAGAGCTTGTCACTTGCCCAAAGTGACCCAGCTCCAGCGGTGGCAGAACGGGGGGTGGAGTGTTGTTCTGCTGTGCCGTACTAGCTCACGTTCTGTCTTTATTTTTCAGGTTCACTTTAGAACAGTTGACTGAGAGAGTGAGGAAATTCAGCGGAAGGGGAAGGAGGCGAGCCCAGCAGAGCAGATAGGAGAGAGAGGGCAGGCTCCTCCTGGGCCCCTCCTTAGCGGCAAAGGGGAGGGGTACCGCTGGGCCGCTGGCTCTTCCTCTTGGCCTGAGAACCCCCCAGGCCAGAGCAGCACAGCCCTGTGCCCCCCCATGTACTTGACTCTGCCCCTCATCCTGTGTCCCCAGCACACACCGAGTCCGCCATACTCCGGCCCGTTTATTCTTCATGCCCCAGGCTCCCTGTACACACCTCACGCCCCCCACCTGGTTTCTCACTTGCCTGTACACACTTTGGGTTCCCAGCACTCACCCGGGCCCATCATAAGCTGTGTGCCTGCTCACACCCACTTGTGCTGTGTCTACAGAGTGCGTCGGATGGCTTCTGGAAATCTGTGGCCACTCGGGTGCCCAAGGAACCCCCCGAGATTCGCATCCTCAACCCATATTTCATCCAGGAAGCCGCCTTCACCCTCATTGGATTGCCTTTCAACAACGGTCTCATGGGCCGCGGGGTGAGACATCTGGACCTTGGGAGAGGGAGGAGGGGATGGGGGCCAGAGATGCCTTGGCAAGGAAGGACAGAGGGCAGGGTGGGAACAGAGGGCTCGGACCTCACGAGCGGAGCTCAGCTCAGGGGCGCTCTGCTGAGGGTCTCAGCCTCACTCTGCCCACCTTCCCCCTCTTTCCAGAACATCCCGACCCTCGGCAGTGTGGCAGTGACCATGGCCCTACACGGCTGTGACGAGGTGGCGGTTGCGGGCTTCGGCTATGACATGAGCACACCCAACGCTCCCCTGCACTACTATGAGACCGTGCGCATGGCAGCCATCAAAGAGGTGCGGGGCTGGGTGCGGGGTAGTCCCTGGGCTGGTCGAGGAGGGGGCAGTGCCAGCACGAAGGGTAGACTCTGACTGTGTGTGCACAAATGAATGGTCAAGGGATGAGCCAGTGGCGGGTCTGGCTGCTCGGAGATCCCTGGAAGGCCCTGCCCCACCCTCGGCTAAGCTGGGTCACCAGGTATCCTTGACCACCATGTTTCTGACCACAACATCCAGCACATCCCTCTCCCAGTCTTCTTCTTCAGCTTCCCCTCTGCCCACCGCCCCCTCCGCCTGCTCCTTGTCCTGGTCCAGCCCCTGCCTCCTTCTTACTGCTCCCCAGTCGTCACCTGCCCATCTGTGTGCAAGCTCAGGGCCGTCCTCCCTACTTCAATTCTTCTGTCCCCCCGAGAACTGCCTCGCCCCCTCAGACAACCCACAGACATTGCCTCTCAGTCTCAGGATGCCCCCGGTACCCCCACCCTCCCCTGTGGCCCGGCACTGAAGCTCCTTAGCATCCAGAGTTGCTTCCCAGGTGATGAGTATGTTACATTCTCCCAGTCAGCCAGCCTCTCCTGGCGCCTCTCGCTTCACAGCAAGAGCCCCTGTGGAAAACCCGAACACTCTGCTTCTTCCCCTCGCCTTCTGCTGCTCCCTGCCTGGACCCTGGGCATCTGCGGCTTGTGCTCTGAGCAGCTTCTCTATTCCTGCCTCTGGGTGGCAAGGGTTGTTAGAGAAAGCCTCTTGTCCATGCAGACTCACAGCTCAGCAGCCCTCGTTCCTGCTCATCAGTCTCTTACAGGCTGTCTCCAGCCCACTGAACTGTTCAGGTCTTACGCTCCCCAGAGCTCCCTCCCTCTCCTCCTCCATGCAGAGAAAGGAGAAAAACTGCTGTTGCCAGGCAGGCTCTGCCCCTCTCATTCCCACTCAGCCCTTCGCCCCTCGCAGCCCGGCTTCCTCCTTCAACTAAGAGGACTCCCACCAAGGTCACCAGTGACTCAAGGCTGCCAAGTCCAAAGGACACGTGTCAGTCTTGTCTTTCCGATCGCTTGGCAGCGCCTTCTGTGTTGAGCGGTGCTTCCTCTGAAATGCTCTCCTGCTCAGACTCTGAGTCAGGCATCTCAGTGCCCCTCCTGTTCCCTCACCAGGCTCTCTTATTCTCTTCCTCCATGTCCTGGATTTCAGTCCAGCCCGAAGAGTCAGCATTAACTAGGGCTCCATCCTAGACAACCTTCTCACTCCGCACATTCCCCAGGAGATTCACACCCCCATCCAGGGCTCTGTTCCCATCTATATTGTTTTAGGCTTTAGGGGTTCATTCAGATGGCCTTGAGTGATTGCGAGTTATTTCAAGGATATGAGAGAGACTTGAGAATCTCTTGGGAAACAACCTTTCAGCTGGGCCTCCTATTTACTGGAATGGGGTTCAGGAGTAGTAAGCTCCTCCTGGGTCCAGAAGAGCCCCCATCTGTCTTACCCCTCAGCTGTGGCTCCAGCCTGCCTCCTGTTCACCAGGACCCTGTGGAGAGAACTTGTCTCTCCATCTCTACCTCTCTTCACGTACCTTCTTGCTGACTCGTCCCCTACCAGCACCCGCCCTAAATTGCTCTCACTGCTTTTACCTGCCTCCTGGCTTCTGTTTACTCCTATACTGGGCCTCTTACATATTCCTTTTATGTAAACTTTATGTAATGGCTTTAGGGAGAGGGTGAGAGGCCGCAGACAGGCAGTAGCCAGATCAGGGAGGGCTTTCTCTGCCATGGTAAGGAGTGTGGACTTTGCTCTGAAGGCAGGAGGGAGCCATGGACCAGTTTTTGGCTATAGATGAGCGTGTAGTAGGGTCACTGTGGCTCCGTCATGACAGAGGGGTCCAGGCAGGAACAGAAGCTAGTTGGGATGCTGTCTCAGCAGTCTAGGCAAGAGATGAAAGTTCACCGGAACTGTTCAGGGAAGACTGGAAGACAGAGGCAAGAATTGGTTAGGATTTTAAATCAGCGAGGCCTGGAGAGGGCCTCCATGTGGAATGAGGTGGAAGGACACACCTTCCCTGAAGCGCTGGTAGAGGCTGTTCCCCCTTCCACCTGCTGTGTCTCGGTTGTCTTACCCCCACCCCCTCCATTAGCCTGTAGAACCATCTGGCTCCTGGACACGCGGCATCTGCTGCACCACCTCCAGGTAGAGTGCTGAGCAGTGCTGGCAAAGAAATCAGGTGGCCTGGGTTCACAGCCTGGCTCTATACCTTCCTTTCCTTATCAATACATGGAATAATGAGAAGTTTGGGAAAGAGTCGATGTGATAATGTGTAAAGAAAGCCTGGCCGTAGTAAGTGCCTGCACATGCCTGCCATTATTATCAATGGCAGTGTTTTTACCCCTACTTATTACTATTGCTTCTCAGCATCCTAGAGGAGTCCCTGAAATGCTGGTCCCTGGGTGTAGGATCCCTGCTGTCTCTCAGGGTATCTTCAGTGGGCAAGGGAGAGAACTTGCCCATTTTCCAGGCCCAGTGGGAGCATGTGAGATGTGACAACAGTGAGACAAGGGCTGAATGCGGAGGGGATATTGAGGGATGTCAGAGGCATTCATAAAGGAGGAGAGAGCGTAGAAAAGGGTCAGAAGATGCAGGATCCTGGAGAGCCGAGGAGGGGCATGCCTACAATCACCAGTGCATGGCGCCGGTGTGGCATGGAAGTCCTAGGAGAGGTGCTGAGACTCAGCAGTCGGATGTACCAGTTAGGGGGTCCCCAGGGCTGTAGTGAGCACAGTTTCAAAGGAGCAGGGGCTTCAGAGCCAGAGTGCAGCAGCTGAACAGTGAGTGTGGCTCCCACCGAGTGCTCTCTGGGGAAACCTGGAGGAGAGAAGAGGAGAGGGGCCGAGCAGTAGCCAGAGGGTGAAGTGGGCTCACACAGGAGTCTCCCACAACAGGGAAATCTGGGCTGGAAATGTAGATTTGTGAGCAGTGAGCACAGAGGAGGCATGGATGAGACGTCTCAGGGAGACAACAGAGGAGGAAGTGTGGAAGTCAGGGCAGAACCCTGGGAGCACAGAGATAAAGATGGGAGCTTGGAGAAGGATGGCTCTTCTGCATCCAGAGTCAGGGGTCCTGGTGAGGGTCCCAGAATCCTGCCCCAGCCCGTGGACAGTGCAGGTGGCGTGGGGTGGAGAGTGCTGTGAGCCACTGTGCTGTGTGCACGGGGCAGGGGCTGAGAAAAGATCACCAGAGAGAGGGCGTTGTCTGGTCCAAGAGAGAGGCACCCTGGCAGACTTTTTTGTTTACTGTTTTATTATGAACTTGTCAAACCTATCCACAGTAGAGAAGAAACTAATGAACTCCCACACAGTGTCACCTCCCGCCCCCAGTTATCAACACACGCCCATGTTGTTCAATCTGCTCTTCCTCTCAAGCCTCCCCTCCCCGGCTATTGGGACACAGATCTCAGGCATTGTGTCATTCCAGCCATGAACATTTCAGCAAATTTCTCTAAAAGATAAGGATGACTTTTTTTAATATTACACCATTATCACACCTGGAATTTTAACAATAATTCCTTTTTTTAAAAAAGTCCTATTGCCTTGTAGTATTGGTTTGTTTATTTGGTTGTGCTGGGTCTTAGATGCTGCATGTGAACTCTTCAGCTGTGGCTTGTGGGATCTAGTTCCTGCATTGGGGGCAGAGTCTTAGCCACTGGCCCACCAGGGAAGTCCCAACCATAATTCCTGAGTATCATCAGATATCCAGTCCTCTGCTGACCTTTCAACCCTCAGGAACTCCCAGTAGGTATTCTTGAAACGGACCCATCAGACTGGTTACTTCTTCTTGGGGAGTGATGCAGGCATGGGATGAGTAAAGAGCTGTGGGGGTCTCTATGCTTGCTTGGATTCTGGCCCTGCCATTCCTCCATGCCTTCATTTTCTTACCTGGAAAATCTGATTTCATTCAACACATATATAGAGAGCACCTACTCTGTGCCAAACAGTCCCTGCCTTCAAAGACAGATGGGGTGAGCCAGAAGTTTGAATCTTCAAGAAAGGGACTTTCCTGGTGGTCCAGTGGCTAAGACTCTGGGCTCCCAATGCAGGAGGCCCAGGTTCCATCCCTGGTCAAGGAACTAGATCCCACATGCTGCAACTAAATATCGTGCATGCCAAAACGAAGACCCAAAAAATTAAGACCTGGTGCAGTCAAATAAATAGATTAAATAAGTAAATTTTTAAAAGTAGATCTTCAAGGAATGAGGGTGAATCACCCAGGGGTCTGCACCAAGGAGGGGCAGTTTGCTGACAGTTGAGAATAATTCCAGGAGCCAAAGGAGCCAGAGGTTCGAGGGAGGTCACAGGGACAGTTGTGTAGATGCAGCAACAAATGAGGAAGACTCTGCCACCTCCAGGCACCATGGAGTGTGGGTGTGAGGGGAGAAAAAGCATGTCTAGGGAACGCTGTCCTTAGGGGCAGCCAGGTTCGTGGTTCGCACAGGAAGTTGAAGGGGGTGTTCAGAGAAGAGGAATATAGGGGATTTTGCCCAAGTTTCAAACTGAAAAGATCTGGCAGGTTGGAGGAGGTTGCTTGGATCAGACAAGGACCAGACAAGAGCTGTAAGTTCTTCACGCCGGTAAACAGTGGCTGTGAACATCCTAGGGTGAACCTCATTCCGTCGGATGCAACAGAGCAGTCAGCTGTGTCCAGACGGTGATAAAGCCATTGGCTCTCATCACTCCTTTATTCATTCAGTCCTGTTTCATTCTTTGAGATACTTAGTCATCACAGCTTCCTGGCACCGGGGAAAGGAAAGAACCTGAGCCTGGGTGCAGTCTTCCCCAGGAAAGCCCTGGAAGGTAGCATCTTCCCTCCAATTTCCACAGTGACAATAAAATGAGCCTCTGCATTCCCCCCTCCCCGGGCTCCTCTAATCTGAGAGGCAGGATTTCGTCAGCTGCCCCTAGGCCTGGAAAGTGGATTGCGTCAGGTCAAAGAATGACTAAGCCACCCCACGTGGTTCCCTTTCCAGCAGGGCCCACCCCCCAGGCTTGGGCCAGACCTAATGACTCACTTCACTTGACCTTGGGGTGCCAAGGGCCTAAGGGCCCGGAGAAGCTGCTGGGCAAGGAGGGGTTGAAGGAGTGGGAACACGGTTGGAACGCCTCCATCTCTAAGGCTTGGAAGAAGTTAAGGGGCACAGTATTCCTGAACGAGGGAAAGGGGGTTAGAAGGTTATTTTCTCCAGGTCCTGGGAAAGGAGGAGGGTGAGCCGCAGCACTTCTGGAGTGGCAGAGGGTGGTGGTCTCAGAATAGGGCACAGAGCCCTGGGAGCCTGCAGCATTCTAGCAAGGCTCCATCCTTGCAGCCACTTGGCCTGTCCAACTGACCGCCACTCCGTCTTCCCTTTCAGTCCTGGACGCACAACATTCAGCGAGAGAAAGAGTTTCTGCGGAAACTGGTGAAAGCGCATGTCATCACTGACCTCACCAGTGGTATCTGAGGTGCACCCAGCACATGGCCACAGAGGTCCAGCCACCACCACCTGCCCACTTCACTGGCCTCGGCCTGGCTCTGCCTGAGAGGTGCGGGAGCCTTCAGACCGGGAGAAGGACTGTGCCAAGTGGCCCCAGGGGTGGCGAGGCCTTGGCAGAGCAGCCAGAGCTATGTCTGCTCAGAGGCCAGCCTCAGAGCCCAGCACTCGGCCTTCACCTCAGCCTGGGTCCTTGAAGCCAGAAGGCCAGGAGGCCACTGGTTGTGCCCAGCGGGCCCAGCATGCAGGAGGTGGACGCTAGGCAGCAAAGCTGCTGCCAGAATCATTTCTCCAATCAGTGTTCGGTGTATTATCACTTTGTGAATTTGGGGTGGGGGGAGGGTAGGGATAATTTATTTTTTAATCAGGTTGGAGATGTCACATTTGGTCTACTGGCCATGCAGAAAGAGACCCACTAAAGGGCCCCTCAGGCAGTGGTCCCAGCAGGCTCCCCGTAGCGTGGGAGTGCCAGGACTAGCCTGTGCCCTGCTCCGGGGTCAAGGGGAGGTGGGCAGGATCTCAGGCCAGCCCCCTCCCGCTCATGACAGTGTTTGGCCTTTCTTGGGGAGCAAAGGGGATAGTCCCACTCAGCAGCCCCCAGCTGCCCCACAGGGAAAACCTGGAGCCATCCTTTAAGCCAACAAGATGCCCTGGGCTTGAGCGGAGAGAACTTCAGCGTTCGGGAGGCATGGCCTGGCCCAGCCTGATGGGAACGGCCCCCACCCCCACCCCAGCTGCAACCGACCGCCAGGACAGTGCTGCAGGCCTGGAGCAGCCTACCTGGCAACTGTTCTGGGTTTCAGCAACGAGACTGCCAGGTCCTCGGGTTCTGCCTTTAGCCTGGACCAGAGGGAAGTGAGGCACCAGGACTTCACCTGGCTGCGGCAGCCCTGCTGGGCAGCCATCATGGAAGCAATAAAGCTCTTCCCTGAGCCTGCCTCCTCTCGCTTTCTCTGACTTTCCTGGAAGAAACAGGTACTTCAGCAGCCACGCTAAACCCAAGGGCCATCTCTCCGGCCCTCTTTCCACCTTTCCCAGCTGCAGGACCTGTGTGGTCACCTAGGGGCCTTCTGGAACCTCCCCTGTCCCTCAGCAGCCCTGGACCCCCTTTGCCCTGAGAAACAAACCAAGGGCATCAGGACATGCCCTGGAATCTACCCTGGTGCCCCCCAAAGGAGCTAGAGGGCAAGGGACTGAAGACAACAGCCTTAGGACAGCACTGCTGGGTCATCACAGCCCGAACTCTACAGGGACAGAGATTCCTGCAAGCACAAGAAAGTGGCACTGCCCAGTCCCCAACACAGAGCAGCCCACAGACCTCACCCACTCCTGGCAGCCCCACCCTCCCTCTTAACACATGGTCTCCCCTCGGCACCCTCTTCCTGCACAGAACAGGAAGGCAGAGCCCAGCTCCAGGATCCCCCTGGCAAGCAGTGGAAAGGACATCCCAACCTTACCCGCCAGAGCCCTGAAATCTGCTCTGTCCCTTCCCTCGCATGGCTGGCCAACCCGAGAAAGGCCAGCACACGCCTGCCCCTGAGGCCACAGGCCTGGGTGTGAGTTTCCCGCTAGAGCTGCCAGGTGGCAGCAGGTGGGGCTGGCCGGCCCCTCACCTCTCACCTGACATCCCAATCCGAGTGCCATCCCCTTCCGGACTCCCACATGCCCCTATACTGTGGCACTTTGTCCTCAGACAGAAACCTCCTCGGCGGAGGAGAAAGCGAAGCCCTGACTGAGGGACAGGGAGACCCAGAAACTTCCTTCCCTTCTGCTGGAGACATGGCCACTCTGATGCAAACTCCAGGGCGTTCTGTGGGTTACGTGAATGGCGCCCCCTGCAGTTGTACAGGGCATAGGCTGCATGCCAGCAAGCAGCAGCCCTGGGGAAGAAGCCCCCGCACAACTGGGCAGCTGGCTGGGGGTGAGCAGAGCTGCTCGCTGCCTGGGGAGACAGTTAAGCTTCTAGTCCCCAGCGCTGCATGTGAACTGCTCTCCCCAAAGTCGTGGTTCTCCGCCTGCACACACCAGAATCACCTGTGCAGATATGGAAAACTGCACATGCCCAGTCTGATTCGGGTCTGGGGGTGGGCCCAGATTTGGGTAGTTTTAAAAGGTCCACAGATGGTTCTGACACACAGCCAGAGTACAGCTGGTCCACACTTGTCCCTTGAGCACTTTCATCCCCACCCACGGCTTCTAATGGTCGGTTGGTCAACAGCTCCCAAATTGCTATCTCCAGCCCAGCTCTCTCCACTTTCTCCAGGCTACAAATTCAGTCACTTCCTGAACATTTCCACTAGGGTAATCCACAGGTCTCTACAGCTCGGCACAACCAATACCGAACTCATGAGCTCCTGTCCACAGCCTGCTTCTGCTCCAGGAGCCCCAGCCAGAATGAATCCCCTCCACCTGGTCACCCAGACCAAAGGCAGACTGTCCTATGGCCCCACCCCATCCAATCTGGCACCAACTGAGTTCTCAAAAAGGTGCGGTCCTGACAGAGCCCCCAAAGCCCCACACTCTCCCCATAATTCAGCTTTAGATTCCTCGCTCCCCCAGAAGCCTCCTGACATACCTCCAAACCACCCTCCTCACTGCAGCCAGAGTTAGCCACAGAAATGCACATTTGATCACACCATTCTCCCGCCCGAAACAAGTTCGGCAGTCCCCAGAATAAAGTCCAGACTCCCTATGAGGACACACAGCCTCTGGCCTTTCTTTATTTCTACCCACGTTACTCACCCAGCCTCGAGCCCACCAGCCAAACTGCCATAATTAGGCATCTTAAATACAACCCTCCAGCTCCTACCTCAACCCTCGGTGCAAACCTTCCTCCTCCAGGACCCCGCTCTTCTTCAGCCCCAGCACCGACTCCTACCACTCTGCCCGCGCTGTGCTGGGCTGAGCAGCGGCCTTTTCAGGTGTGTCTGTACTCCAAGCCCCAGGCGGCAGCGGAGGGGAAGCGCTGGGTCTAGCGGAGGGGCTGGGGCCGCTAGAGCCGGGTCGGACTTTGAAAGCCCCAGCTCGGTGCCTTGCGGAGTTGAGGAGTGCGATGAGTCTGTTGAGAGAAGAAACTAGTGGTGGATCAGAGACAGCAGCTAGCACAGAGCGGCCAGCCAGGACGACAGGAACCCAAACGCCAGTGGCCCAAGGCAGGGACCGGCCCGTCCCCTCCCTCTCCCGCCCTCTGCCCGGCCTCCCAACTCCCTACTCCAAGTGTCTCCAAACTCTGAACACCCAGTGTCTGCGCCTCTGCACCGACCTGGGGGCCCTCCCCAGTTTCTCCTCCACCCCCCCCCCACCTCGGGGGACCTTAGTGGAGCGAGGGGGACCGGATTCCAGAGGGTGGAGCGGCCAGGTGAGCCCTGAAAGGTAGGGCGGGGTGGGGGAGTGCTCGGGCCCCACCCCAGGATCCGGTGACGCCAGGGCTGGAATTTGACACCGGACGGCGGCGGGCATGAGGCTGCTGAGGGATGGAGTTGGGCTCGGCCCCCAGACACGGCCCGCGGGCTCCGCCAGCAGCAGGTCCCTCGGGTCCCAGCCCTCGCTGTGTCCCGGACCCAGAGCCCTGCACTCGCGGTAAGCCGACCTGTTTGCCCACCCCTCGTCCCAGCCCAGGGGCTAGGGGGGAGCAGCCAGGGTTGTCCCCTTCCACTCCTTTCTCACATTCTCCCTCTCCTGAGCCCGCTGTGCAGCTCCCCGCCCCTCCCAGCCCCCCTCAGTCCCTCTAGTTGCTGGTCGGACTGTGCTAGCCCTGCCTAGCCCTGCCGGCCCGCTGCCGTAATGTGAGGCTCCTGCCGCCGCTACAGGGCTCAGACTGGCTGCCAAGACCTCGCTTTTGGCTAAGAGAGGCGCTGCCAGCTGCACAGCCCTGGGCATGAACCTTCTGGGCTGCGGGGGAAAGCCCAGCTCTGGTTCCAGGAAAGGTGCCTAGAAGAACAGGACACAGAACCCCCGGGGTGAGTATCGGGCTGCTAGATGGGGCGGCCAGGCAAGGGCTGGAGGACCAGGTGGCCCCAGATGGCCGGGAGGGGGCCAGAGGGCCTGAGCTGCCCACAAGAGACCTGCTCCTGGGCTCCCCCTAGTGCAGGGGCCTTTAACCCTACCTTGCTAGGCTTGCCTTCCATCAGTGAGAACAAGTCACTACCCTGACTCCTCAGGCCCAAATTCTGCTAGGCGAGCACATCCGGCACTGGAGGGTCTCACCAGGCCCTGTACCTGGCCCACAGGTACACCGACATTCTGTGTGCCGGGGGTGAGGCTGGAGGTGACAGCTGGGACCCAAGAGCAGGCCCGCTAGTGAGGGCTCATGAAGGCTCCAGGGCTCCAGAGAGGTGTTTGGGAGTGCCAGGCAGTGCAGGCTCATAAAAATTGGTGGGACTCTGAAAGGCCGACTGAGTTCAGGAAGGATGGTTCATGGGGGAAACGTCTAGGAGCAGGTCCAGGCTGCCAGATCCAGAGGGAGCTTGCAGACAGACAGAGATGGACCAGCTCTCAGGGTGGCTCAGCTCTCAGGGACCAGGCTGGTGTAGGAAGCAACTCCTGGGAGTTGCTGGGGCCTGAGTCGGGCTGAGGGTAGGGGGAAAGCCCACCCTACTTTGAGTCCACAGGCTTGACAGATGCTGCCCCCTGGTGGTCATAGAGAGCCATGGCCCAGACCCCCTGTTCCTAGAGAGCTCCTCAGCCTCTACCACCTGCTGGCTCTTGAAGGATGTCTGTGGTCAGAAGAGAAGACATCTGTGGTCAGGCACCTCTGCATCCAGAGATCACAGAGAAGCAAGGTGCAGCAGCGCTCGGGTGGGCAGCACAGGCTGAAGCCTGGACCTTACTATCATCCAATAACTCAGGGCAACCCGCAAGCACCCTCATTCTCCAGGCCACAACTTGCTCCTCTGCAGTATGGAGAGAAGGCTCTCTGTGAGGTCAGGGGGTCCAGCTGCTCCCTTCTCCAGCCCTGCAGCACAGGGCAGGAAGTTCCCTTCCCCGCACAGCTTGTGGGTCTACCCTTGTGACTTTAGATAACTGCTGAGCTTCTCTCTGAGCCTTGTTTCCTGGTCTGGAAAATGGGCATGATATATACCATTTACCTCATGGAGTTATGAAGTCTGAAAGGAAACAGGTGCAAAGCACCACCACATAGCTAGGTTCTCGATGCAGCCACTTCTCTTGGGTTGAGCCCAGCTGTCCAAGCCCCTTGTCCCTCACCTGGAGAAGCTGAAGTGGAGGGATGACCTGCTCTGAGGATAACTCCATGTTCCAAGCTGCCTCAAGAGGAGGGTGGGGGAACAGGTCGGCTACAACTGATGGGAGCTCCTGGTGTTGACAGAGATGGAACCTGGACGTGGAGGCCCTTCTGTGCTGCCCCTCCGGGCTGGGCCTAGGAGGCAGGTGAGCAGTTCTCCCACAGACTTCTACTGGGTATTGAGGAAAGGTGGCTTGACCTGGAAGGGAGAGCATGGCTCCAGGGGGCAGGTATCAGAAGTGGGTGGGGAAATGGTCAGGGAGGGGCCGGGGGAAGGAGCAAGGTCAGTGCACTCCAGGGATGCCTTCTCCAGGCTCCCTGGGGCTGCTGGCCCATTATCCTCCAACCCTTCTGTCGGGCCCCAGCCCCTTCCAGACCCTACCAGACTGTCCTCTTACCCCCTGAGGCTCCCCATTGTCTCTTCCAGCAGCCTGCCCTGTGGCCCACCCTGGCCGCTCTGGCCCTGCTGAGCAGCGTCGCCGAGGGTGAGGCCTCCCTGGGCCCCGCGCCCCGCAGCCCGGTCCCCCGCGAAGGCCCCACTCTGGGCCACCGCTCCGACGAGCTGGTGCGGTTCCGCTTCTGCAGCGGCTCCTGCCGCCGCGCCCGCTCCCCGCACGACCTCAGCCTGGCCAACCTGCTGCACGCCGGGGCCCTGCGGCCGCCCCCGGGCTCGCGGCCCATCAGCCAGCCCTGTTGCCGACCCACGAGCTACGAGGCCATCTCGTTCATGGACGTCAACAGCACCTGGAGGACCGTGGACCGCCTCTCGGCCACTGCCTGCGGCTGTCTGGGCTGAGGGCTCGCTCCGAGGGCGTGCGGACAGACCCTGACCCATGGATCTAACTGCCTGGGACCACTGGGGGCTCGGCCGGAGATGGAGGCTTCGGCCGTGTGAGTGATGGACATCAGCCCTGCGGAGAGAGAGGCACGACTGACGGGCGGTCTCACCCTGCCAGCCTCAACCCGGCAGACACCAGAGACCTCAGCAGTGGAGAGCCGAGGACCTCCTGCTCACAGACTGTCACTGCCCGGGCCAGGAACCCAGGACTCCTCTAGAGAACCCAGCAGTGTGTGGTCTCAACCTCAGCCTGGGCCTGGGGGGACAGATTTGGAGACATGTAATTCGTTGCCGAAGTGCCTGTGCTGGAGCGGCCCTTAGACTCTCTGGCGGGAGCTGGACCCCTATTTATTACTTCTAAGTTATTTATTTACTTCTGTGGTTTGTCAGATCCTTTCCTGGGCTATGGTGGCTGGATGGGGGATGGGTAGAAGCAGTTGGATGGAGATCCCGCCCTGACTATCCTGCTCACAACTTCGGGCTCACTCAGCAATCATAAGCCTGGCCTGGGACTGCTTGCCCTCACCCAGCAGCTCTGGAACCTGAGGGGCATGGAACACAGGCAGAGGAGGTGGCAAAGATGTGTTCGCTAGTCCCAGCAGGCCAATTCACAACCCCCTGCACAGCCCCCAGCAGCTGGAACCTGGGGTTACTGGTGGAGAAAGCCATTGCCTTGAGACCTCAGGCATGCTGGGGGCTTGCTTGATGGTAAAGATTGCACCACCCCACTGTCACTGATCAGAGTCCTACCCTTCAGAACACCCTGACAGGCACATATACTGCCTGTGCTTGCAGATAGCCCAGCCCAGGGAGCTTACTACCCACATTCTGTGAAGCAGCCCGTGTCAAGAGAGCAGCTGAAAAGGCTGAGGGTGGGAAAGAGGGTGCAGTGGGAGGCTGGTTTGGGGGGGATGAAGCACAGAACATCATGGAGATTAGAAAGCAGGAAAAGACTGAAGGTATCTAGAGGGACCCGCATCTTGGGTAATGAACAAGGATATTCATTCATTCATTCAACAAATATTTATGAAGTACCTATTTTATGTCAGAAGCTGTGCAGACAGCAGGGCTACAGAAGTGACCCATGATCTCTGCTATTAAGCTTAAACCAGGAGAGACAAACAATAAATAATTTACATAAATAATTACTGAAATTCAATTTGGCAAACAGTATGAAAAAGGACCAGAGGCTGAGAGGTACATACCCTCATCTGGAAAGAAAGGAGGAGAGGTTAAATGCTGACCCTGGCCCTCCACACTGTTGCCAAGTCATAACTCAAAAAGTCAGCACAATGCCTCTGAGCTTCTGTGTATGTCCTGTGAAACCTTGTTTCCTGGGCCCTATGAATTTGTCCTATATGATTTTTTTTTCTTTGAAATTAAGATCAGGACACGTGTTTGGATGCATGCTGGGTCTGAGGAGCTGTGGGACATGCGAGGGTGGTCAGGAGGCAGTGGGGATTGCTGGTCTGGAGCTGAGGAGGCAGGTCTGTACTGAGGTTGACTGGGCAGCTGTTAGCAGAGGCAGTAGCTGCAGCCAGGGGTGCACGAGACTGTGTAAGAGTGAGGCAGACTGAGGCTGGGATCCCTCAGGCATTAGACATCATTAACCAAAATTCCTTCCCAACTGCCTGAATGCCTGCCTGCTTTGGCACAGATGCCCCCTTCTCCCAGGCTAGAGTGAGGAGCTGGCAAGGGCTCTTTGAAGGCTGTATGCATTCTGAGTCAAAGAGGGGAAAGCAGTCATGTTTCCATTCTTCTGTTTTCACTGCCTCAGTTCTAGGTGCCCCCAAAACTTTGAGGCTCTCATGCCGCCCTCAAACACCCCCTCGGTCCTTCTCCCTGCTTCCAAACTGATTCAGGACCTTCAGTCACTAACCCCCACCTCCAACCAAAGAAAATGGCAGCTTGGAAACATCTCACAAAGGCCCTGCCCTGGTCCTGGTTGGGGGTGAAGAGGAAGAAGTGGAACTGTTAGTCGCTCAACTGTGTCTGCCTCTTTGCGATCCTGTGGACTGTAGCCCGCCAGGCTCCTCTGTCCATGGAATTCTTCAGGCAAGAACTCTGGAGTGGGTTGCCATTCCCTTCTCTGGGGATGAAGAAGAAGGTCCTGTCAATTTCAGGGTCACTGGGGCCAAGGAGCCCCTGATGAAAAGACTTGAAGGCCTGGTGGAGGGTTTGAGGGCCAGGCCCTGGCCCTCAGTGGGCATCTGTGCTCTCAGAACCACTTTACAGGAGATGGGTTGAAGCCGTGTCTGGCAAGGCTCATAGAGAGACAGCCAGGTCAGAACCTGAGCCAAAGGCGCTGGCTCTCAACACTCACAAAATTGTAAGTCCTTGGGAGAGCAGGGTCCCCCCGCCCCCGCCAACTCAAGGCTGAATTCTGGGCCCTGGAGAGACTGCCCAACACTGTACAAAATTGTGGATTAAGCCACAGCTTCTCCAAAAGGAACACATTCCCACAAGAACTAGTCTCAGTTTGCAGCTCACAATGAACCAATTGTTTTGTACTAAGTCACTTCAGTTGTGTCCGACTCTTTGTGACCCCACAGATTGTCGCCTGCCAGGCTCCTTTGTCCACAGGACTATGAATACTGGAGTGGGTTGCCATTTCCTTCTCCAGGGGATCTTCCTGACCCAGGGATTGAACCAGCATCTCTTATATCCCTTGCATTAGCATGTGGGTTCTTTACCACTAATGCCACCTGGGAAGCCCCTATGAACCAAATTCCTCTTCAAAAATAATAAATGAAGCATTTTCCCCAAAGGGAACAAGTTGCAGAGCTCCACCTCTTTGCCTACAACTTAGCAGAGGTCACCTGGCACATGGCCTCCACACAGATGGCTCTAGAATCTCCATTTTTTACTGTCATCTCTTTCATATTTGCAAAATGACACTGCCCATTTGAATGATCTTCCCAGAACTAAGGTATGATCTCCTCCTAAGGGGTATCAAGTTATCACTTCTTGAGAGACAGAAAACTACAGATGGCTTTTTTAAAAATATAATTTTATTTATTTATGACTGTGTTGGGTCTTGGTTGCTGTGTGGGCTCTTCTCTAGTTGTAGAGAGCAGGAGCTACTCTCAAGTTGCTGTGTGCAAGCTTCACATCAAGGTAGCTTCTCTTTTTCCGGAGCATGGGCTCCTGAGTGCTCAGGCTTCCGTAGTTGCGGCATGTGGGCTCAAGAGTTGTGGTGCACGGGCTTAGTTGCTCTACGGCATGTGAGATCTTCCCAGATCAGGGATCAAACCCTTGTCTCCTGCGCTGGCAGGCGGATTCTTTACCACTGAGTCAGCAGGGAAGCCCTACAGATGGCTTTGACTTGACAGTTTTCCCTGCTTCAGGGGGTACCCAAACATCCCTTTAGTTTCAACCAGGAATCAAAGTTTGGGGTAATCCGTGTGCTCCCCCTGCCCCAGCCAGTGGTATTCCTCCTCTCTTGTCCAGGGATTGCCACAATTTCCCCTGGCTAGAGAGCCCTGTGCCTGAGTGCATGTGGTCTGGCTACCTATTTTGAAAAGGAAGGTAGGGTAGAAATCTGAGAAATCAGAGAAAAGATCTAGGAGAATTTGTGCCATGTGAGATCACATCTCTTGTTCACAGGGGTGGTGCTTCACCTGTTTTGGAGCTGGAGTATCCTTACAGAAACTGATGAAAGCCAAGGATCCTCCCCACCCCACCTCCCACTTCAATGCTGAAAAAAACCACTGATATGGAAATCTGGTGAAGAATTTGAGGGAGTCCATAGACTTTCTGAAGCTCATTCAGAGATTCTGTAGGAGTCCATGGCCCTTGAGGTATCCTGCCTTGTTTGAGATACTATTATTAATGTCCTCCTGTAGCTAGATTAATTCCTCTATCTGTGCTTAGGCCCCCATATCACAGGGCTCTCTGTCTCCATTATTTACAAGCCTCCCTATTCATCAACCTTTTTCTATTGAATGTCTTTTCCCTCTGCATTTAAACTTGCTTGAATATATCATGGCACACACACCAAAAAAGACACTGTGATTAGAAATATATAAATATCAATATATAATCTGCTTACACCACTCCTCCTTCACTAAATGAGCTCTTGCTGTGGTCCCTAGTGGCCTCAGCATTGCTAAACTCAAAGACCACTTCTCAGCCTTTAGTCCTTTGGATTCTCGGAGGCACCCAACTTTGTCACCCTCTTGGAACACCTGTCTTCTCTTGACTCTCCATCCCATATTCTCCTGGATTTTCTCCCACCTCTACTCATTCTTAGACTTTTTGGGGGTTCCTTTTCCTCTCTCAGCCCCTTAAGAACATCAGGGCTCTGATATAGCCCTTCTCTCCCCATTTTAGTCTCCCTGAGCAATATGACCAACTTCCATGATTTCAGTTACCACCTCCATGCTGATCATGCTCTCACTGTATCTCCAGCTTAATCTTTCTCCTAAGCTCAGCCTGTATTTCCAATTCTTTCATCTGCATAGCCTCAGAAACTTCGAACTGAACTTACTGTCCTGGCTGTCTTCTGTTCATTCCTTCAGATGCTCTCTCCACCATTCTCCGCGTACTCTAAGCCCCACATCAGTGAGTTTCTCTGCTCTCCAGCCTCCAAGCCTCCTCCAGGGTTCCCTCCTAGGTGAATGGCACCAACCTCCATACAGGGATACAAGCCAGAAACTTGGGCAACAGCCTAGACTCCCTGAGCTTTGCCACTTCCCTTTTCCGTTAGTTCTCAGATCCTTAGCTCTTGCAAGTCCATCCTCCTTTCCCTCTTCCCAATGCTATTTTGTGGAGACTTCCTAATTTGTGGAATGGTTTATTGTTCATCCTTCTAAATGGTCCCTGTCTCCAGTCTTAACTCCCTACAGTCATTCTCAGCTCTCTGACCTTTTAACATTAGTTAAGCACTAACTGTAGTGCCTTGGGCCAGTTATGGGGAATCCAAGATCAGCAGAAACATGTTCTGCCATCAGGGAGACCATAGTTGGAGGTGGAGTTGAGGGAAGGGCTGACCAGTTTGGCAAATAAAAATAGGATATCCAGTTAAACTGGAATTTCAGATAAGCAATACTTTGTTTTAAGTAAGTATGTCTCATGCAATAATTAGGACATACTTATAAAAGAAAAAAAAATGTTGTTTAGGTATTTCCCTGGTAGTTCAGTGGCTAAGAATCCACACTCCCATTGCAGAGTGCCAAGGTTCAATCCCTAGTCAGGGCACTAGATCTCACATGCTGTAATAAAAAGTTTGAATGCTGCAACTAAAGATCCCCCCATGCTGCAAGGAAGATTGAAGATCCTGTGTGCTGCAACTAAGACCCAGCACAGCCAAATACACAAATAAATATATTTTTAAAATGTTGTTTATCTACTATTGAAGTGGGTGCCCCCCTTTTTTCCTGGCAACCCTAGATGGGGGTAAACAAATGAACAGGAAACACAATCAATCATCCCAACAGAAGTATGATTAGGGCACAGTGATGTATGTCAGGGTTGGGGAGGATTCTATACTCACAAAGGAAGAGGAATCATTTCTACCTAGATGGACAGGGAAGAGCCAGGAAAGTCTTTGTGAAGGAGGCAGCTCTTGAACTGGGCCTTGAAAAATGAAATATTTGCCTTCATTGCCTCTCAGCTCTAAATCCCCCCTTTTCACCAGCCATGCCCTCTCAGCAGAGGCAGTAGCACGAACAAAGGCAGGAAGCATGGAACAGCCCGAAGAGCCAGGGAGTTCATGTAGAATTGGGGGAGGGTCCTCATCAAGACACAAGTCAAGAGAGATCATAACGGTCCTTGAGTGCTATACCAAGGAGCCTGGACTTTGTGCTGAGCGGAGCCACTGAGGGTTTTAGGTGGGATTGTCTAGAGACATGTTTCAGATAGATGACCGGCCACTGTGTCTAGTTTGGACTGGAAGGGGCAAGGCAGGGGACACCAGTTAGAGCTGCTGTAGCTAGGGCTGCTCAGACAACAAATGCTGGCCCCTTGACCTAGGGCAGAGCAGCGTGGAAGGACAGCGGGATAGAAGGTGCAATCCATGGGACTTGGTGATGCACTGATGGCGAGGACCTGATGGAAGGGAGAGTTTTTGGGAGTCTGGCTTGGGCGACCAGTAAGAAATTTAGGGGATGTAGTATTTTTATCTCATGATGGGGGTAAGGTGTGGGGGAAGTCATGTTTGAATTTGTACCTGTTCAACTTGACGTGCCCGTGACAGTTTCAGAAGGCAAGGAGGCTGGCAGCGGCTGGGTCTGAGGGTCAGGACAGTCTGGCCAGAGAGATCTAAGAGTCATAAATCAAAGACAAGGAGGTGGTGAGCCGCAGAGGCTAAGGCTTGGAGACCCAGCAGTTTAGGAACAGGGAGAGGAGAAGGGACAAGGCTGTGAGGGAGACCAAAAGGGTGTGACCAGAGTGGTGGGGAAAACAAAGCAGAACAAGGGGAAGGAGCAGTCGAAGGGGCCAGATGCAGCAGAAAAACCACGTCACATAAGGACTGAAACTGTCTATTGGGTTCTCTGGCCACAAGGTGGCCTAGGGACTCAGGCTAAGCTTCTTGCTGAAAACAACTAAAATTACTTAGACAAAATATACACTTTTAAAAATTAATGCATCCATGAGCTGGCATACACAGAAGAAATATTCAGGCCAAAATAAACAAATACAGGAACTACAAAAGTAAACAAAGTTCAGTAGCTGGTATTCACCTTGAGGGCATTTTCTTTACCTGGGGAACCTAGGCATTGGTTTGCAAGGGCTCCCTTGCAAAGAGCTTATGGGGGCAGAGGGGGTCTACCTGGAACATTCTCAGTAAGGCCAGAACCCCAAAGGACTATGCCCACACCTAGAGGTGAACTAGAAATAAACCTTCTCCTCCTTTCCCTAACCTCTTTCCCTCAAACCAGGGGACTACAAAGAAAATAAACTTCCCTAGTGCAATTAAGCTTAGTGCTAAGTGAAAGGGGAGAAACCTCCCCTGAGAATTCTTAACTACAGGCGGGGCCCTCATTTGGTTTTGCAGACCAAAATTCACACTGTTTTAGAAGGCTGAAAAGCTTCAAACTGGTTAATCTGTCATGGACATGGATTGCTAATGGTTCCAGGTAACCAACAGAAGTTCTTTCTCCTCCTCTCCTGGGCTCTGGAATGCTCTCCTG